AACACAAATTCCAGAACATTTCTATACAAATACTCTTAAGGATCGCAGGTAATTCTAGATTTATATAATAATATTTATTATAATCAAAACACTTCTGAACTATCACTATCAAGAAATCTTTTCTTACATAGAAGACGTTATTGAAAATGTTAGATAAAATTCTTAGGACCTCCTAGAACCACAGGAAAGCTTATCCTATTAAATAAAATACTTACTAGGCTATGTATGATGTTTTGCTATAAAAGTCTTCAGAAAGTTTTTTATAGAAAATAAATATCTGAGCATACGACGAAACCCATTTTCTACAGAAAAAAATCCTGAGAACGTCAGACATATTTGGTTTTTAAATGTTGATGTCTTCTATAGAAAAAATTTAGAGGACTTCTGGAAGATTTTTCTGAAGGCAGCAGTTATATGGTTAATATTTTCTAGACAAATTATTGTAGAATAAAATCCAGATTATCTCCGTATGGTTTTAAAAGTCTTGAAGACATCTGGACGACTTCTTTCTGTAAAAAAATGCTGACCACTGAAGAAATATTGTTTCCACTAAATACTATTTTTTAGACACCTAAGGGAGGACTTTTTATTGAATGCTGATACCATTGTCAGGGTATTATAGCTTGGTGCAGCCCCAAGAGTTTGTAACGCCGGGAAATATGAGTCCTAGACCCACCTTTAAGTATAGCGATCGTCATATCTCGACTAGCTGAGTCTGTCCATTATAATTTGTAAACACGATACAGGCACATTTATGGACCAATCTTCACTAAATTTTGCATGTAGGATGGGATCAGCCCAATGAAGACCACTGTTGTTTTTGGTAAAGATGGGTTAATATTTAGGGAATGAAATTGACCAAATACTTAATTATGGTCCAAACATAGCGAGTTTTTACATGGATAAGGGGATCGGGCCAAAGAATAAGCATGCCTATTTTGATAAAGATCGGTCAGTATTTAGCGGGTTCAATGGATCCTGACTTTTCTGTGAAAAATTACAAAATTTGTATTCTATGGCGTATCTATTTACTCCTGATGGTCATAGATCCGAGAAGATGATAATATATCGAAGAGGAGTGGTTGACCTTTAAATTGATACCAATTATATTGTCGTATGTACTCGGATGTGGAAGATACACTTAAATATTTACTTATCCACATATTATTTAGTAACCCATTACCACACTAGCGGGCGGAAATATAGCGCTGATAGCTTTGAAATTTTCCCTGATGTTCCAGTTATGGTCCAGGATAACACCTATAATTTTCTGTGATGATCAGATAATATTATTGGGATGAAGTAGACCAAAAACTTAATTTTTTGTGTTTTTTCGAGTCGATTTATAGGCCACAATTGAAAGCCGAACATCACAACACAACCCACGATGAATGGAATCATTGCAAGTAATTAGAAGGGCTGCACTGAATATTAGTAATATTTGTTAACCTCTAGTCGGTCAAGAGGCTGCGAATATGGCGAACTATTTCCCAAGCTCAGAACTACACCGCAGAAAGTTAGATTTTCGTGTAAGTTGTGTAGGGTATCATATGGTCGGCCCCGTCCGACTATACTGCTCCGCTCACTGGTTTATACTCGATATATTGAGGTACTTAGAATTCTTGGGAAGTATTTTCCCTTTTTTCAATTTCCCCAAAAAAATTCCCTTCGAATAAAACTTGCTCAGCCACCCGAGGATGAGGAAGTATTTTTATTCCGGAGGAAAACTTAGTAAGAAACAATCTTTTGCAGATCTGGAAGTTTATTTCCGAAAGAAAATATACGTCGGCTACTATGAACGATTTTTTTTATAGAAAAGTTAAAAAAATCCTCTATATGGACCTTTTATAGAAAAAATTCACTGAGGATGACTTTTCTATAGAAACATAAATAAAAAACCTCCGGACCCTGAATTTGACTTCTTATATAGAAAAAAAATCCTAAGGACCCCGAATACGATATTCTCTAGAAAAGATTTGAGGACGTGATTTTTCTATAGAAAAAAATTCTTCAAGACTCTGAAGAAACATTTTCCTTAAAAAAGTATAGAAAAAATCTTAAGAAATATTGTATAAAAAATCATAAAGATGACTTTGCTATAGAAACTAAATTCCTGAAGATGGGTTACTTAAAAAAAAATAATAATAACAAGTGAAAAAGCGTTAAGTTCGGCCGGGCCGAACTTTGGATACCCTCCACCATAGATATACTGACAGGTACTTAAAATGAAAATATAGGGAAAATAAAAAAGTGAACATATATCGACATTTCCACATACCAGTTATGTAAAACACAATGTAAACTATAAAACAAATTTCAGAAATTTTTAATGGATAATGAGGGTGTATACACTTTTACACGGTTAAAATGGTTCTAGACCCCATGTTTCTTTGGACCAAATTTGTTTCAGAAAATTTTGATTTCATCCAAACTTTGGCCATCTTATAATTTCTTCCAAACTTACTTCAAGTTTGAAGATGGGGAATATCGGTCCACTCCTTCTGGTACCTCCCACAGAGGGGCTAGGTCTAAATACGGGTTATAGTTCATATATAGTTCATTATTGAACCTTACGTTCTAGTTTTTAATCTCGATATCCTCCGCAGGTGATATGATTACAACAGAGTCTTAGAATCACCCCAAAACTCGGAACAGATTGCATAACTATTTTAATATAAAAAAGGGGGTTATATAGGGACTACCCCAAAAAGGGGGTACATATTAATAATTTTTTGTAGGGAAATTTGTTACCATATACGACTACAAAATACCAAATTTCAGGGAATTCGGTTGAAAAACGTGCTCAAGAACTTCAAAATAGCGAAAATTTGGGGGTACCCTTATATGGGGGCTACCGGAAAAAGTGGACCTATATTTATAATTTTTAGTGGGGAAATTTGGTACCCTATAAAAACCCAATGTACCAAATTTCAGCGAATTTGGTTGAAAACCGCGCTCAAGATCCTTAAAATACCGAAAATTGGGGGGTACCCTATATGGGGGCTACCCGAAAAAATTGACCTATATTTATAATTTTTCGTATAGAGATTTGCTACCCAATAAGAACTCAAAGTACCGAATTTCAGCGAATTCGGTCGAAAAATGCGATCAAACCCCCCAAAATACCTCAAAATTGGGGGTACCCTTATATGGGGGCTATCCGAAAATATGGACCCATATTTATAATTTTCAGTGGAAAGATTTGCTACCCAATAAGAACTCAATATACCAAATTTGAGCGAATTCAGTTGAAAAACGCGCTCAAGAACCTCAAAATACCGAAAATTGGGGGGTACCCTTATATGGGAGCTATGCCTAAACGTGGACCGATGAAGCCCATCTTCGAACTTGACCTGCCTGCAGACAAAAGACGACTCTATGCAAAATTTTGGCGATCTATCTCAATTCGTTTAGACGCTAGAGTGATTACAACAGACAGACGGACAGACAGACAGACAGACGGACAGACGGACAGACGGACATGCTTAGATCGTCATAGAATTTTACGCTGATCAAGAATATATATACTTTATATGGTCGGAAATGATTATTTCGATGCGTTACAAACGGAAAAACAAAACTAATATACCCTCCATACTATGGTGGAGGGTATAATAAAAATACACATGACGCTGAAGAAAAAAACCTTTGGGACCCTGAATACTATACAAAAAACTGCTCAGTATACCGAGGATGACTTTTTCTATTGAAGTTCATTTCGCTGGACTCTAAATAACATTTTTTATCGAAGAAATGCCTCGGAACACTGATTATGGCTGGTTGATATAAAAACATCCTCCTATTATATTCTATGACCTAATATAGGAAACAGGAAACATCTTCCTATGTAATAAAAATCTTCTTCAGGGTCTATAGAAACGGAATGGTTTGTCTAATTAATTCCTGTAGAAAAAAATCCTCAACACCATTTGAAAACATTATGCTATTAAAAGCATTAGTACCCTAATAATCTCTTTTTCTATACTAAAATATTTATTTCCATAGTCAGAAAGCAAAGACATCCTTGGTATTCCGAGTACCGCTTTTATATACAAACTAATTCTTCAGCTTATGAGGAAGTCTTTTTCTGCGTATTTTTTTTTTTTTTTGTAATTGACCCATTTGAGTTTCCTTCCTTTCCTCAATTACATCGCTTCGTTTTTACAGCTCATTAAGTTATCCATAACGAAAGACTTAAGCAACAAGCACCATTTATATCAATCAAAATTGAACATCAACAAAAATGCACTACAAAAAAGCAAAAACAACCAACCTTCCCGCACAAAAAAAACCGCAGCAGAGTCCCAAACAACCGTTCTTTTTACGCGCTTAAGGTAAAAAAGTCATCAAAAAGCATTTTTTTTTCAGCTAACAAAAAATTATTATTACAACAAAACTGACGACAATAAACAATAACAACAACAACAGTTATCAAGAAGGCGCAGAAAAAAAGAAGAAACAAAAATTTGTCAATAAAAATTAATTGCAATTTTATTGCAACGAACAACAACATTGGAATATAAAGTAGTGCTGGAACCCAGGGGCCTCAACAAAGCTTTCGACACATGGCTGGATGGCTGGCTGAGTGGTGTTGGTGCTAAGTGGCTGGTTGGCTGGTCAAGCATTCATTGTTGCAATTGGTCACTGAGCAGTGGGCAACAGCAGACCATGGGTGCCACAAAAAGCCAATTGTTATGATTTAACACATGGGAAGTTGCAAAGAAGACCACAGCATGTCTGTCCTTCCATGCGATTGTCTGCTGGTGATCACCAAAAAAAAGAACGGTTAACTTTGCCAAAATCGAAACGACACCGCAAAATTGCAAAGAAAAAAAAAAAACAAATCCAAACAACACCAACAACCTCTTATGACCCAAATTTTTCTTAAATGTAAGCCACACGAGGCAAATGAAATCAACAAAACGATGATCATCATGGGGCCAAGCAGAGCAAAAAGAAAAAAAATGCCTCAGAGATGCCAAAAATTAATTCACTTTCCTTTAAGGAAGCGCAGTGGTCACCGCAATGTGTTGCTGCTGTTGTTGTTGTGTGGTAATGATGTTGTTCTTTTGGATCTCACTTTTGGTGGTGGCCGTTGTGTTGCAGTCACACAACTTGTACTTTTCAAGAGATCCGCCACTAATGATAATCAACTGTAAATCGTAATGATCATGCGGATCATGGTTATGATACCCAACAAAAAACAGCCAAAGGGCCTAAAAATCTGCAACACGTGCGTTCGAAATATGACAACAACAACTACACAACGGATTACATGTTTTTAAAACCAAAACAAACCGCTTCAAGATAAAGAAGATTATCTTCGGAAGCTGTAAATGTAAAACCTTTTATGGAAAAACATTGAACAACAGGACTACCTTTTCTATAGAAAAAATCTGATAAACTCAGGACGATTTTTTATAGAAAAAATCCTGAAAACTTCAAAACTATTTTTTTCTATAGGAAAAAATACTGAAAAATTCAAGACTATTTTTTCAATAGAAAACAAATTCTGACAACCTCAGGATCACTTTTTTTTATAGAAAAAATAGAAAAAATCCTGACAGCCTCAGAAGTAAAATTCCTGTCAACTTCGAGGATATTTTTCGAGAAAAAAATTCAGCCACTTTCATTTTTTTTTTAAAAACAATTCTGACATCCTCAGGACTACATTTCTTCTACAGAAAAAAAATCCCTGATTAACCCAGGACTAATTTTTTGTATAAAAAAAAAAAAATCTGACAACATCAAAACTATTTTTTTTCTAAATCCTGAAATATTTAGAACATTTTTTCAATAGAAAAATATCCTGAAAAATTCAGGACTAATTTTTTGTATAGAAAAAAATGCTGGCAATCTCAGGACTATTTTTTTATAAAATAATTCAGGACTGATTTTGTCAATAGAAAAAAAATCTGGCAACCTCAGCACAAATTTTTTCTATGGACAAAAAATCCTGAATAATTCAGGACTACATTTTTGTATCGAAAAAATCCTGACAAACTTTTCTTCTCAAGAAAAAGATCCTGACTATGTCAGCAACAATAGTTTCTACAGAAACCTGATAATCCCAGGACAATTTTTATAGAAACAATTTGCTATTTTCTTTTCCTATAGAACATCCTCACGATAACGACAGGATAACGTTTTTCTATAGAAAACAAAAATTTCCTGTCACTCTCTGACATCATCTTTTTAGTCGATGAAAATCCTGTCTCAGGATCACTATTTCCTATAAAAAAAATCCTTACAGCTCAACAACGATTTTTTATAAAAATTCCTGAGACCCTGAGGTTGATTTTTTTCTATAGAAATCCATCTACCTTTAGTAAAAATGATGTTATAGAAGAAACTCTTGGAAACTCCTCAGTACATTTTTTCTATAGAAAAAAAAATACTGTGAAAAAATTCCTGAGACCCTGATTTTTTTCTATAGATTTTTTTCTATAGAAAAAAATTCCCAAGGTCGATTTTTTTTCTGTAGAGAAAAAAATTCCTGAGACCCTCAGATTGATTTTTTCTATAGAAAAAAATTCCTGAGACACTTAGGTTGATTTTTTTCTATAGAAAAAAATTCGTCAGACCCCTCAGGTCGATTTTTTTCTATAGAAAAAAATTTGTGAGACCCCTCAGGTCGATTTTTTTCTATAGAAAAAAATTCGTGAGACCCTTAGGTCGATTTTTTTCTATAGAAAAAAATTCGTGAGACCCTTAGGTCGATTTTTTTCTATAGAAAAAAATTCGTGAGACCCTTAGGTCGATTTTTTTCTATAGAAAAAAATTCGTGAGACCCTTAGGTCGATTTTTTTCTATAGAAAAAAATTCGTGAGACCCTTAGGTCGATTTTTTTCTATAGAAAAAAATTCGTGAGACCCTTAGGTCGATTTTTTTCTATAGAAAAAAATTCGTGAGACCCTTAGGTCGATTTTTTTCTATAGAAAAAAATTCGTGTTCGACCCTTAGGTCGATTTTTTTCTATAGAAAAAAATTCGTGTTCGGCCCTTAGGTCGATTTTTTTCTATAGAAAAAAATTCGTCAGGACCCTTAGGTCAATTTTTTTCTATAGAAAAAAATTCGTGAGACCCTTAGGTCGATTTTTTTCTATAGAAAAAAATTCGTGAGACCCATAGGTCGATTTTTTTCTATAGGTCGATTTTTTTCTATAGAAAAAAATTCGTGAGACCTTTAGGTCGATTTTTTTCTATAGAAAAAAATTCGTGAGACCTTTAGGTCGATTTTTTTCTATAGAAAAAAATTCGTCGGGACCCGTAGGTCGATTTTTTCTATAGAAAAAAATTCGTGAGACCCTCCAGGTCGATTTTTTTTTCTATAGAAAAAAATTCGTGTTCGACCCTTAGGTCGATTTTTTTTTCTATAGAAAAAAATTCGTGATCGACCCTTAGGTCGATTTTTTTTCTATAGAAAAAAATTCGTGTTCGACCCTTAGGTCGAGTTTTTTTTCTATAGAAAAAAATTCGTGTTCGACCCTTAGGTCGAATTTTTCTATAGAAAATAATTCATGTTCGACCCTTAGGTCGATTTTTTTCTATAGAAAAAATTCGTGTTCGACCCTCAGGTCGATTTTTTTCTATAGAAAAAAATTCGTGAGACCCTTAGGTCGATTTTTTTCTATATAAAAAATTCGTGAGACCCTCTGGTCGATGTTTTTCTATATAAAAAATTCGTGAGACCCTTTGGTCGATTTTTTTCTATATAAAAAATTCGTGAGACCCACAGCGGTCGATTTTTTCTATAGAAAAAAATTCCTGAGACACTCAGGTTGGTTTTTTCTATAGAAGAACAATTCCTGAGAATCTTAGGTTGTTTTTTTCCTTGGAAAAAATCCTGGGAATATCAGTTTGAATTTTTCAATAGAAAAATCAACCTCAGCTTTAAGTTTACGACCCCATGGTAATTAATATAGTTCCTAGCCTTGGCTAGCAATGACTTTGGCATTGTTTTCACTGCGCACCAAGTCATTGCAAGGAAATGAAACAGCAGCACCAAAGAAAGCTTACTCCAATTCCTGTGATGATTTATGAGTCCATACGTTCCACACCGTCAACAACAACAACCATGGAGAGCACTTAAACTTTCTTAACAAAAATTTCACCTTAACCTGGCATCAGTATGGAATATGAAACATAAATGTTGGCCGGTTTAAATCACTTTTTGTCCGGTGTGTGTTGGCGTTGCTGGCTGATGGTTGTGATGGTGGTTGTGGCGATTGTGTTAAACAATAACGATGGCCACCGCCCTCCCACCATTAAATTAAATGTGAAAAAGGCTTAATATACCTTTTAAGTAACGACTTGCTATATAAATCATATCGATGATACATGTTCGGTGGAGGTAAGCTGAGCAGAAATAACCATGGCAATATTTTCTTTTTTTGGTCTGGAACACATTTTGTTTTTACGAAAATAATTAATGTTTTCTGGTTTTTCAGTGGCCCTCACCAACTTCATCAAGAAATCAAGAAAAATATGGTAAAAATGTGTAATAATACCATTGATTGCACCCAGGGGGGAAAATTATATGTCACTACTTAATGGGGCAACACCTTAAGGGCCAATGATTTTGGCACTTAATTATATAAATTATGAAAAATGTATTGACTTTCAATACAAAATGCAGTGTTTATGTTTAATATTCGATACGATTATGATTGGGAAAGTATGATTATTGGTTCGTGGGACGATAAAAAATAACGGGTATTAAAACAAGTTTTACAAATTGTCAGTATTTTTTCTATCTTAAAGGGTTGTACTGAGGGCCTCAGTAATTTTTTGCTATAGAAAAGATCGTACTTAGGGTCCCAGTATTTTTTATCTATAGAAAAAAGGGTTTACTGATGGTCTCAATGATTTTTTACCAAGAAAAATAGCTTACTGAGGGTCTCAGTATTTATGCTTATAGAAAACCCCTTTCTGAGATTGTCAGGAATTATTCTACACAAAAAAGTTTTCCTCAGATTGCCAGCGATTTTTTTCTAAAAAGGAAGTCTTCCTGAAGTCGTCAGGAATTTTTTCTATGGAAAAAAGTCTTCCTGAGGTTTTTAGGATTTTTTTCGATTCTATTTCTATAATTTCTTCCTGAGGGAAGAAAAATCTTCCCCCACCAATTGTTAGTCATGTTCGATGACGCAGAACAAAAATTGAATCGATTTTAAATTGAAATTTAAAACTTTATTTCAGGTCATTTACGTGAGCATGCTTTTTTATAGATGACATGAAACAAAAGACTTAAGACACAAACTCGATTTCTAACTGTCACACAAACGAGCAAATGAAAAACAGATTAAATGATATTTTTGTTAACAAATTGTCATAATTTGATGAATGTTAATAACATTTAAACCCTTTTTAAATGTTTACTCATATTTCTGACAATTATTCGTTGGGAAATGAATATATCACACACACACATACATACACCCATTGAAAGCCACTTAACAGAGGCAGTGGCAGCAGTTGTCGTGGTGGTGCTGCCGCTGGAAGTGATTACAGAAAAAAGACCACCTATTGCGATTAACCTACAAATGTCGGTTTACTATTGACAATGAAAACAAACAAACGTACAACAATATTAGGGGGTGGGTGGGGAGCCCATAGACCCAGAGAACTTTATAAAATTGATTTGAAATTCAATATATTATTTGTTTTCGTTATGGGATTGAGATTATTTTTTGCTTTAGTATTTATTTTTGTAGAAAAAAATCAGTTTTGAGGTAATTTTTCTTTTTTTGTTTTGTAAGCCTCTGTTGTTGACCACTATAAAGTATTGTCATGACAAAATATCTACAAAGATGTTATTCAACTGCAGCAGCAACAACAACAATAGTCATGTGCACAATTTCGAAAAATAAACAACGAAACTGATGGATGGACAAGCACTAGGGCAGAGAATTTCTGAGACGATCATATATATCTCCATATGTTCTGGAGAGTATATGTGTATGTATAACCTGTGTATGTTTGCAAAAACAGCAACAACAACACCAAGCAGCTACATCACGTAATGTTTTGGGGATGAAAATCGGTCGAAGATGATGTCGTCCAACAACGACAGCTACAATGGAGAGACACAACAACGACATCATCGCTGGAGATGATGTTGTTTTGTATACAATTTTATTTTGTTGTTCCTCTTT